TCGATACGCCCTGTCTGCTTGCCCCACATCTGGGGGGACGCCGCACCGCGCCGCGCCACGACTCGCCACGCCACGCCAGCCCGGCACACCCGGCAAAGACGCGTGGGGGCCGCGCCGGACAGGGTGGAGGCCTCGGCCGCGAAGACCGGCGGAGTCGAGGCGGAGCCCTATGCGCACGACTTATTTAATTCGATTTTCGCGAGGTGTAATGCGCGAACTAAAGACATTGAACCACTTTGGGGCATTGGTTTAGGCGGCTTTAGAGTCTGAGTGACCGATGTGGTTTTCACTCGGCGCTTTAATTGTGTACACTGGAGAAATTAAGGTGCTATGTCGCGCCTTTGCGGGGGTGCGAAATTAATTCAAGGGAGTAGAAAGAGTTGTGTGTGTGTGTGTGTGTGCGGGGGTGCGAAATTAATTCAAGGGAGTAGAAAGAGTTTAATGCCATTGCAAAAGCACTAAAGAGCTCTAAAAGATGAGTAAAAATAATGATTTTGGCTGCTGTAATTCCTTTATAAGGCCACTAAACCCTTATCATGACACCTTTTTGTTTCCCCAGTGTAAAAAGTATTATGTAGTAATAACGTAATTTACAGTATTACGCTTGTATGAAGACGGAAGACGGAATGATGATGGTATTATGGGGAATATTATGGGGAATTATGGGGATAGTATTATACGGATTACGACGGTATTACAAATCGTGGGAACCGAAAGGACGCCCCGTAGTGCTACGCGAATGTAAACTGCCTCGTGAACAAGCTTCGTATCTCTGAATGATTGCTGAGCTCGCGAAGCGACGCTCATATGAGAAGGTCAGATCTGTCTATTTCCGGTCACAGCGACGAAATAGTTAATAGAAAGAGCAATGCGGTCCTCGGCCTCGCTCCAGCCTATCGACTATGTCATATTGGCCGTAAAGCGAAATAAAGGCATAAGTCGAAGAACCTCCATGAACTGCTCTTTTTCTTTTTTACCCTGTCATTGCCGTTTGGTGCACCCAAAATCACTTTGGAAACTTTATCAACTCCTAGGTACCAGCACCAACTGACTCCTCATCATGGTGACTAATTGAGTCGATTCTGAGAATTCTAAAACGGCAGCGACAGGTAAAAAAAAAGGTCATGTTGTTAAATGGAATTAGCCCCTACTTATTCTGCTTCATACGACATTTGGAACGCAGGTTCTGCTTCGTATAAATCTCCCTCACACAGTAGGTATGTTTCAGTTCATGCTCCATTCCATTGCACTTCTAGGCTGCTGTGTAAAGTACCCCCCTCCCCCTCTCGCACTCAACTCCATTTCATTCCCGAAGGGCTCTCTATCCTCCCCTCCCTCCACACCCGGGGGTCCCGGTATTGACGTACACATCCTCGGGACTTTTTGCCGCTCCGGCGGCTCGCGGGTGGCACGACGAGGGAGCGATGCTTTTGCTCTTCGACGGAAGAGTAGGGAGGGAGGGGGGGGGAGCAGGGGAGGAGCACATCAAAGCCCCAAGCAACGAGCCCCCTGCAGGCCTGCCTGCAGCGCTCCAATAAGAATGAGAGGCAGGAGGCGTAGCTTCGCAGGACGCCGCAGGGACCCGACTGCAGTCCTGCGCCTGCATGCGCACGGCAAGGTAGACAAAGGGTACAGCCGAAAGTCGTAGCTTGCTGGATATGCTCAGTGTGTAAAGGGTCATCTAGAAAGTACGTCCGACATTTGGCGTCACGGAACTGCGAACTGCCCATTCGGCCCCCGATAGCTGTCATAGCGCCTGACAGATAGGCAACATCTGCCCTGCAGTGTGCACGCGTGCACAGCTGGCTGGCCTACCCGGAGTTTCACAGGCGCCGGTCGCGAACCTCAGAAGAGCGAACGTACTGTACTTTCTGGACGATCCCGACGAAAGGAGATGCTGGTGTTTTCGCGTGTTAACTTCCCCTCGTGAGTCTCGGTTGCGCGGGCAGGGCGCTCATCCGCTCCAGGCGAGCCGCACCCCGCCCAATAGTCCCACAAACTCCTAAGTTATCGCAGTTACGAGGGTCTCGCGGCCGTGTGATGTCGGGAGAGCGCTGCAAGGAGCCAGGGGGGCAGCCCGAGGGGCACTCTGCTGCTACAAACACCTAATTAACCACACAATACCAAACCCGCTCTGAGGTGGTGGATAACTTACCGAAATGGCGGACTGTAGATCGACGAGGAAGTATCTCGTCTGGTGGGCGTTTGCTGACGCCAGGCTGAGGAGGTAGTCGTTCCTCGCCCCCGTCGACTTCTCCTCCAGCATTTCTTTTTTCGACGTGACCTTGGCACTGTTTTTCTGGAGTGATGTAATGGATTGAAAAAATGAACCTTTCTTCTTTTTTAATCTGGGAAAAATGTAAGAAAAGAATGCAAGTGTTACCTG